GACGTATCATGGCACGTCGCTCAGATCTGGCACTCCCAGGCTGCCTGTCCCTGCAGCCCTCCAGGCAGGCTCTGCACAGCTGGGTCAGGAAAGATTCGGGCTGTCAGGCCTGGGTGCCTGGTACTGCCTGCACCAGAGTGAGACTGGGGAGAAATGATTGTGACTGTGATCAAAGGAAGGAAGGAGTGAGGGACACAGGTTTCACGTGGTTCTGGGGCCTGGATACCCATACATGGGGTGACTGAGCCTGGCCCTGTGCCTCTGCTCATGCCCAAATATCCCAGAATATTCCTCTGAGGCACCCAAGGTCGCCCCCAGCTAAACCGTGCAGGGCTGGGACTCCGAGCAGAGAAGACCAGCGTGGTGCTCGCTGCAGATCTGCTCCTCAGGGGGACCCGCTGGCCCTCTGCTGCTGGGGTCCCGGGCAACTCCCGGCTGCGCCCCCGTGGGAGTTGCTCAGGCTGCACGACTCCCCCACCCTGGTTATGCCCCGTCTCAGAGTGTGGCCAACAGCGAATAATCGCCTGAGACCCCTGTACCAAGGCCCTGTGTCAGGGTAGCATGAGCTGGAAGGGCCTCCCAGCTGGGGCCTCCATCGTAGCCGCATTCCAGGTTCCCAGCTCTGCCTCCCAACCTCCCTCCAGAGAGAATATCTCATACCCCCTGCATGCAGTTTCCCTCTCGGAGTCTGATTCCACAGAACCCAAAATACAGAGCACCCTACAGAGAAGAGTATGGAAGAAGAGAGAGCTGCTCAGAGACACAACATTTGAATCTGCAATTATTCCTGAGTGCTCATGAGCATGTGTGGAAGGAAAAGAATCACCCAAAGACATTTGAGGGAACATTTGCAGGACAGAAACACACGCACACAATCTGGACAGTGCTTGTTCCTACAACCAGAGTGGACAAGCACCTAATTAGGGGCACGAAACTGACCTGTTAGTAGAGCTTGGCCCCAGTACCAAGGAAACACACCTGTGGTCCAATGTCCTCTCCTCTCCCAACGAGGGCAGTCTAAGATCAATGTGAGTGAGGATCAAACTGTCTTCCAGTTACCTCTCTGAATATAAGAACAAAAAGCAAAAATATAGAGAGAAATACAAAAATGCCATGCACTCCACAAGGAAAAGTTCACCCTGTCTAGCATGATGTCAAACTTCCTTCAAGGAAACAGGAAAATATAAAACATAAGGAGCAAGAAAGTTGAGCATTCTGTATTGGCTCTGAAGTTGCACAGGGAGTAGACGTTCTAGATTAGGATGCAAAAGAAGATATTATAATCGTATCCCACTTGTTCTGGAGGGTACAGGCTTCACTGAACATGTTAAGGGAAAAATCTAAAGACATAAACAAAACACCTAAATTGAATTTCTGGAAATGACCCCCAGAAAGTGTGTGATAAAGGACACACTGAATGTGACTGACTGCCTAGTAGATGCTTCCAAAGAAAAGATTGGTGAAGCAGCAATAGGAACTCTTGGTAACGACACACAGGAAAAATATTGAAAATAAAAAGAACAGCACAGCGGTGAGTTATAGGACAAATTCATCCAGCAAAAAATGATATAGTAGGAGTCACTGAAGGAAAGAACTTGGGGGAAATTGATCAAAAACTATTTAATGAAATCATCACCAAAATGATCCAAATTTCTTAAAAATTATAAACCTCCTGTCCCAAGAATTGCAACTAAACCCAAGATCCAAATACATTCAGAAGTCTAAATACATTAAGAAAACTCAACAAACACACACCTGATCAAATGACTAAGGAACAGCGATGCAGGGACACTATTAAAGGAGAGGCGGGCATGGTGGCTCAGACCTGTCACCCTAGCACTGGAGGAGGCTGAGGTGGGAGCATGGCTTGAGCCCAGGAGGTTGAGGTTGCTGTGAGCTATGAGGTGCCACTGCACTCCAGCCTGAACAACAGAGCAGGACCCCGTCTGACAAAAGAAACAAAAAATATACACACAAAAAACTCCAAAGCAACCAAAGAAAAAATACATTTTAGGTATAACAAAGCAACAAGGGCAAACTTCTCATTAGAAGCAACGCAGGCAAGAAGACAGGGACCCGCACCCTGAAATGCTAGAAGAAAAAACTGTCACCTTGTATTCTTTGCTCAGTGAAATATATTTCTAAATGTTGACCCCCTCCCCCCAAAAACTTTTCCAAATATAGAAAAACTGCCAACACTGATCTTCTGCACACCCTTCCTAAACAAAATAATAAAGGGCTCCCCTCATACAGAAGAAAAATGATACCAGAGAGAAAAGGGAATCTACCTGAAGAAATGAAAAGTATTACATATGGTAACTACCTAGATAACTATGTTAATATCGTATAATTACAAACGTAAGGACTGGAACAGCACCACAGAACAGCTAGACTTAGACAAATACACAACTCTCCATACCAGAACAAAATAACTTACCACCCAATGCAATCACTATCAAAATACTAATGACATGTTTCACAAAAACAGAAAATAAATCCTAAAATTTGCATGGAATCACAAAAGACCCCAAATAGCCAAAGCAACACTGAGCAACAAGGAAGCTGGAAGCAAGCATGGCGCTCCCTGACTTCCAGTATAGTACGAAGCTATAGTAGCCAACACACCATGGTATTGGTGTAAAGACAGAGACAGACCCAGGAAACAGAAGAGAGAACCCAGAAATAAATCCACACATTCACAACCATGGGACTTCCCAGAAAGGAGTCTAGAACATGCATTGGGAAAACAACACATTTTTCAATAATGTTTCTGAGGAAAGTAAATATTCAGAAATTAAATATTTGCAGAAGAATACAACTAGACCCCTATCACTCACCACATACAAAAATCTCCCCACAATGGATTAAAGAGTTAAATGTAAGACTCCAAACTGCAAAACTACTAGAAGAAAACATGGAGCCCAGGAGAAATGTTTAGGACAGTGAAAGGTTTTATGGCTAAGACTGAAAGCTGAAGGCCCCCAGCCCCCAACTCCCAGAGGCTCCACTGAGGTCTTGCAGCCCAGCGCCCAGCTCTGCCCAGCCCGCGCCCCTCCTGTCCTTCCCTTGGTCCTGGGTCTCTCCTCTGCCTGGATCCCACACGCTCCGCTCTAAGTGGGACTTTGCCTCCTTGTCAACATGACATGATGCGCTTGTTCTCTTCTCCTTTTTTGTTAATGGTGGTGTCATTTACATCCAGTACAATCCGCCCTCTCTAGAGAACTTTTGTGACTTTTGACAAATGCGTGTAGATGTGTAAGCACCTCAAACAAGACAAATGACAATGTCAACCTCCATAGACTCCCCAGGTCCCTCTGGAGTCATGCTGTCCTTCCACCCCAACACCAGGCCACTGCTGACCCTGTGCTGGGCAGAACAGGGCAGGGGGTGAACACTGGCACAGGGTGAGGCTGGACTGAATGGGCCCCACCCACCAGGTGACAGGTGCTGTGGGGGAACCTGGAGGAGGGAAGCGCCTGCCCTGAGTCTCCTCCACCAGCAGGGGGCGGCAGAGCTGCAGCTGGAGCAGCAGGACACAGGCTGGGGCTGCCCAGGTGGGGCCTGAGGGGGATGTCAGCCTGTGGCAGCAGGTGTCCCAGGCTCAGTCCTCAGACAGATAGTTGGACATTCCATCCTGTCCCCATAAGCTTCAGAGGGCACGTTCTGAAGTTCAGACTCACAGAGCGTCACCCCAGGACGCTGACGGGAGCCCGGGCACAGTGAGTGTCTCACCTGGAAACAGCTGGAGGGGCCTAGGGACAGGTGTCAGCCTGGGCAGTTGCCACAGGGTTGGGATTCCCTGGGGCCACCCCGAGGTCCAGGTGCTCTGTGAGGGGAGCAAGTGCGAGGGGACAGGGCTCCCAGGACTTAGTCCTTCCCCAGGAGGTGGCCTGAGCCTCCTGCCCACAGCCAGGGTATCATCCCCCTATCCAGCTGTGGTCCTGGGAGCTGAGCCCCTGTCCCGGGCACTGGCAGGGACAACCCGGCCACTTGTCCCTCTGCCTCTCCCCCTCCAGGCAGGCTCTGCCCTCAGGCCGCAGCTCCTGTGCTCAGCTGGGGCTCAGGGCTGGGCTTTCTGGGTCCTGGTCCCTGATGGAGCCTCTGCAGCCGCCTCTGGGAGGCTCTGCTCAGAGGGCAGGGGACTGTCACTTGCCTGCGGTCTCGGCTCTGCCCACCGGGCTGTGTTGGTTCATGACAGGATCTGTGTGGGTGGAGGGACCACTGAGCACCCCGCTCCAGAGCTGGCACCTGTGCAGACCTGACTCTGGACCCGCACAGAGACCACGGCCCGGAGTTGGAATCTGAGTTGGGTAGGCTTCTCCTGCTTTTTACAAGTTTCCATAAAAGATTGACAGGAAAAAATAAAGAAAGGAAGAACTGATGGTGACAAATGCTAGTCTAGGGTGAGGACAAGGATGTCACTGAGAAAAACAGTATGTGAGAAATGAGACCAGACCTGGCGATGCAGCCACACAAGTGTGTGGTGCTTGAATGACCAAACTGTGGTTTGGAAATCTTAGTCTCATATCCTAATGGCACAAAATATTGTTTAGATGAAATGACCAGGTGGGACCTCAGTTGAGTCCAGGGACCCAGAGGGGAGACAGAGGAGAAGGAAGAGGATGGTCCGGGTCCCCTTATGCCGGTTCAGGTGTGGCCAGTTATCTCAGGATCCTGGAAGGGACACGGCCCTGCTGAGCCCCACCCAGGAATGACCCCACCCAGGAGGGTTGGGACAGGGGTCATGGGGTCAGTCCCCAGGAAGTTGACTGTGACCTCAGGCCTTGGAGGCCGAGGCTGATTTGCTGACCAGAGAGCACATGGAGGAAGCCGCTCCCCCTCCCTGCTAAGTCCCTGAGCTGCCCCCACAGCAGGGTGAGTGACATCCCCCAAGGAGGAGGCCCAGGGGACAGGAATTTGCATAAACACCAAACACTCCCTGCCCCCCAGGGCCTGAGAGGGAATAAGAGGGACCTGGGGAGCCCAGCTGTGCTGTGTGCTCAGAGACAGAGCTCTGGGTGTCACCATGGCCTGGACCCCTCTCCTGCTGCCCCTCCTCACTCTCTGCACAGGTGCCACCCCAGGCCCTGCCCCCGAAGGACCCCAACCTGGGCCTGCCCCAACCCTGAGCCCAGGGAAGGCCTAGCCTCTGGGTTACACCCCTTGAGAATGGGACCCTCAGTGTTCATTTCTTTCTCCTCTTTGTCGTGCAGGCGCTGTGTCCCCCTATGAGCTGACACAGCCTCCCTCAGTGTCAGTGACCCCAGGACAGACGGCCAGGATCCCCTGCTCTGGAGACCAACTTGACAAGAAATACGTGTACTGGTACCAGCAGAAGCCGGGCCAGGCCCCTGTGCTGGTCATATACGAGGATAGCAAGCGGCCCTCCGGGATCCCTGAGCGGTTCTCGGGGTCCAGCTCGGGGAACACGGCCGCCCTGACCATCAGCGGGGCCCAGGCCGGGGACGAGGCTGACTACTACTGTCTCAGAGCTGATGGCAGTGGGAGCAGCATTCAGTGACTCACAGTGACACAAACAAATGGCGAGGTGGAACACAAACCTCCCCCAGCCTGTCTGTCACTCTCACACACCCTCTGGGCAATGACCATGACCTTGGCCTCTGCTCACTCATTTCCTTCCTCAATGCAGCACGAGCAACACGCAAGTCACTCCAGATCTCTAAGGAATTGTGTCTTTCCCATAAAATCAGCTACACTTGAAATCCCAACAACTTGCCTCTTTAATGCAGTGCCCTTCACAGAGCGGTGCTCAGGTTCCTGGGATGCAAAAGGTCTCCAGAGGGCCTGGTCCCTCTGCCAGAGACCCCCAGCCTGTTCCTCTTTCATCCCGGAGTCTGCAGGTGGAGGGATCCATTCTCCAACGTTCCATCCCTGAAACTTGGCCTCGGGACAGGATAAAGCAGCGCGCCCAGGAGGTCCTGGTCCCCGGAGGGCACGTGCTGATCTGGCCTGGGCAGCTCTGAGTGTGTGATGGCAGGAGTCGTCGCCTTGGGTGACAATGACGCGCACAGGGCTGTGGCTGCAGCAAGGACACAGCCACCCTGGTGCTGTGCAGAAGCAGACGTGTCCCCGACCTCCCGTCTACCAGGACTGCACCCGGGGCAGCAGGGACACAGCTCCGCTTGTCATAAGGACTTCAAGGCCACCCTTCAGGCTTGGTTTCAGATATAACACTTTTCCAGAGAACCCTGCACTGGCAAAGACGAAGAAACCAGCGCATGCGTGGGGCCCTGGGACTCCAAGGCGACCCTGAGCCTGTGCCTGTCACCCCGTGAGGAAAATCTCTCTTCACAGCTCCCCGTGAAGCTGTGTCACCCGCTGCGTGTCTCATGTGTCTGCCACTTATGGTTGGAACACTTTCCCTCAGGTCTCTCGGAGAACTTGAAAATGTGAACTGTAGAATTTATGGAAAGAAAGAACAGAGGCTTCCTTTGGGTCTGTCCCCTGGCTGCGCATGTCTAGTTTGGAGGGAAGTGGGTGGCAAAGGGAAAGAAAATCCCCCACTGCCCGTCACAGCTGTGACACCTGCAGCTGATCGTTGGATGCAGTTTCCATGTCGTGCTGATGGACCACGACTGTGCACAGACCGCGTTTTACCCTCAGGTTCCGGGAGACCAAGCCATAATTCAAGCTCATCCCCGAGTTCAGGACTGTCAAAGGCTGCTCTAGTTGCTTCTGATCTAGGACTTGTCCCTGGGGTTTCTGATGAGCCAAAGGGTGCAGGGAGCTGGCCGCCCTCCCAGGCCCGCCCTGCCCGGGTGCAGGTGCAGCGGCGCCCCCACAGGCGGCTGCCAGAGTCCTCAGGGAGAAGCTTCTCCACCAGGCCCAGGACTCTGGGCTGAGACTTTGCCACACCCTCGCCCCAGCCAGCTGGTCCCAGGGCTCTGAGAGAGCGTGTTCAGGGGTCTCGGGGCTGCCCACTCCTCCTTTTCCCGGTTGCTCCTGAGTGACCTTGGGATTGTCACCCCCTCTCTGAGACCTGTCCCTTCTCTGTCCAGTGCACTCCCAGATTCTGTGCTCCTGGGTCACAACTGCAACATTTCAGGGAAAGCAGTGATGTGTCACCCACAGGGGACCCCAGGCAGCTGGCCCAGGACCTGAGGCCCAGCCAGCAGCACAGGTCCCCACAGGGCTACATGGTGGGTTCAGGGAGGAGGGACTTGGAACCCCTGCTCTGAGTGTCTCCAGCCCCAGGTCAGCCAGGGAGGGGCAGGGGACAGGGCTGACCCCACCTGAGTCTCAATGTCCCCACACCAGAGCAGCATCTGGAGGCCCCGTATGTGCTACACCCCTGTCAAGACAACCTGATCTATCACCTGGAAATGCCCCCTAACCACATGGGTTCACAGTGCTCCTGTCCCCAAATTCTTCATATATGGAAATGTCGCCAGTGATCAAGACCGGTTTGAATCTTGGACCCCTCAGGGTGCCACTGTCCCACCAATCCTCAGACTCACCAGACTCTTCCCCAAAGGGGACTCACCGAGCTCTTCCCCCGCCCTCCCTGTGACTTGCGCCTTTTCAGTCCTGACAGGGGTTCCAGACATACCGCTCCATGGAGGGGTCTCCTCAGCTGTAATTATGACACGGCCTGCCTGTCGTGTTCTGTCCAGATTCTTTATATTTATCTGCACAGTATTTACCTCTGTGGGGTTCTTTTCCTACCAAGAATTCTATGAATTGATATGTTTGTGTTAATTATTTCCCTATGGCCAGAAATGCATTTTTACCCCAAGACGCACAAATGGAGAACAGAGAGGCAGAACTAGGAAAGCTTATTCCTCTTTGCAAACAAGTCAGAGGTGCGACAGTGACTGATGTCCACATGCTCACCTCTTCCATCAAGGCACTGGGATATTCCTGACTCCTTGTTCACTGTCCCTGTGATGTTGCCTTGTTTTGAGTCTTGTTGACATTAGATCTCAAGATGGCTGCTTGAGCTCCAGCCATCGCACCCAAACACAAGACACCATGTGTCTTCCCTTCACAAGATGGAAGGTTCTCTGAGAAGAAGCAGCCAACTGGCCCTGACATGCCCTGGACCAGCGCTGGGCCACACAGTCCATCCTTGCTGAGAGACCTGGGACTCGCACGTGTCTGATTTCTAAATGAAGAAAGCAGACCACGCTCGGGTGGAAGGTGGGGGACTGTGTGCTGGGGCTGCACACCCCGTGTGTCTACTGCACGGAGCCAACGAGATAAGCAGCTCACTTCGAACAGGCTGAATCTTGTTCATGCTGAATTCCCAGAATGGACTTTGCCAGACCAGGTGGGTTGGGTAAGCATTTGTTGGACGGATGTACTAGTGCGTCTATGTTTGGCGCAGCCCCCACCTGCACAGGTCACGGCCCTGCACCTGCAGCCGACGTCAGTAAGTGCCAGTCCCTGAGCGCTGTGTGCCCTGTGCCAGCCCTGGCGTCTTCTGCAGGAGCCACCACCCCTACAAGGACATGCAGGGGACCAGATGTCTGCCATCCCACTTCCTGTTCAAATGGGCGTGTTTATTGATGTATGGGCCACTGCGCCCCTGGTGCCGGGTGTGAGGCAGGCAGGGCGCACAGGGAAGGGGAGTCCTGCCCTGGGCAGCGGCCCGCGGGGCAGGGAAGCAGGCCCTGAGCAGCAGAGGCTGCCTCTGCACCTGGACCAAGGAGGCCCTGAGCCTCCAGCAGCCAGTGTGGAGCGGCCACCAGGGGGCAGCAGAGAGTCGCCTGGCAGAGGCCTCTGGGGCTGGGGGAGGGGCCCAGGGAGAGAGACAGGAACATTCACCAAAGCTTATTGGCCACTTCCTAATATTTGGCACTCTTTCCACTCTTTTGCCACTTGCCACTGAAGCACACATTCTTCGGGCTCCCCGGCTCCCACGTGAGGCTGTCCTACACTTCCCCACCGTCTCTGGCACAGGCCCACAGGCCGCATCACCCCGCACAGCGAACCCACTGGGCGGGAGCTCTGAAACTGCCAAGCTGTCCTGCAGCCCCGCAGCTGTCACTGACGTCTGGCACACACTGGGGACACTAAGCCCCAGAACTAAGGACCTTTCCCAGGAGCTCACGCCAAAGGCAGAAGCCTATATTCCCTCAGTTGCTCTTAAAAACTGCGTGTGAGCTGGGCGGGGTGGCTCCCACCTGTAATCTCAGCACTTCAGGAGGCAGAGGAGGGAGGATGGCTGGAGCCCAGGAGGTCCAGGCTGCAGTGAGCTACGGTCACACCAGTGCACCCCAGCCTGGGCGACTGAGTGAGACCGTCCCTAAAGAGAGAAACATTTCTAAACAGAAGCCCGCCTGCACACGAGAAAGCAGCGTTTGCACTGGGCAGCACTGCTCCGGGTCTGGGATCTGAGCCAGGCCCCTGCAACTGCTGCAGCTTTGCATTGTCAGCTGGGACAGGGGTCAGGACATGCGGACAGACCCGCCCCTGAGATCTACCTGGGCAGCCCAGCAGTGAGAGAGGTCACACCTGGGGTGGAGATGTCAGCCCCGACTACGGGACCAGCAGGGGAAGGAGAGTCCTGGGGGCTGTGGGTTGGTCTGCATGGGTCGCCTGTCCACTCCCATCCCCGGTCCCCTGGGGCTGAGCCCTTCTCTGGAAACCACAGAGCGCTCAGGCAGCAGCCCTGGCCAGGCTGATCTGCATCAGGGCCGCTCTCTCCTCAGGGCATACGACAGGCCCGGGAGGCGCCTGCCCAGCCTGGGCCTCGGGCAGCAGCCTCGGGGGCGCCTCCGCCGTGGCCTGGACCCCTCTCCTCCTCGGCCTCCTGGCTCACTGCACAGGTGCTGCCTGGGTCCTACCCGCCCAGCCCCAGGGCCCGGGGACAAGCCTGGCCCCGACTCTGAGCTCAGCAGGGCCTGGCCGTGGGGGCAGGAGGCTCCTGGCCCTGCTGCAGGAGGGGGACCGGGGGGTGAGACCCCGCACTGTGTCGCTGGTGCCCTGAGGGCCCTTTCGTCCCTGGCTGGTCAGGTCAGCAGGCGCAAGGTCTCCTTGGATGGGCCCCTTAGTCCCAAGCCTTTTCTCTCCCCGTTTCTCTCCTCGCAGGCTCCGTGGCCTCCTATGACTGACTCAGCCACCCCCGGTGTAGGTGTCCCCAGGACAGACGGCCAGGATCCCCTGTGGGGAACCGCATTGGCAGTAAAAGTGTGCACTGGCACCAGCAGAAGCCCGGCCAGCCCCTGTGCTGGTCATCAATGCAGATGGCAACCATGCTCCAGGGATCCCCGAGCGATTCTCTGGCTCCAGCTCGGGGAGCACGGCCGCCCTGACCATCACGGGGCCCAGGCCGGGGACAAGGCTGACTACTACTGTGCCCGAGGCAATGGCAGTGGGGCCACATTTCAGTGACTGACAGTGGCGCAGACACACAGGGATGTGGGACAGGAACCTCACCTCACTCTCACACACCCTCTGAGCAAAGACCGTGACCTTGGTCTCACCTCACTCGGTCCCTTCCTCAGTGCAGCCCAAGGAACAGGAGAGGCCTGCCGTGTTTCCATTGGAAGCCG